ATAAACTCATATTTCTAATCCTTTGCTCATTGTCTTTCCTGGTCCTATTTCTAGGTGTTGTATCCGGTTATTAAGTCATGAAAGGAAATCATGGCCATGTATCTACATTTATAAACAAAATCAACTTCATTATGGAATGTCTATTAATCAACTACTGCAATTAACAGTACAAACTGCCAGTCAATTGAATCTGGTCTCGCCGAAACTACTGACCCGTTACGTCTCCGTATAGTCTAGAGGTTAAGGCATTGGCTTTCTAAGCCAGGGACCTGGCGCACATATTTTCTTCAACCTATGCCACAATTCATTACGGAGGGCGGAAGACGCACCATTGGGCCTAAAGAAAAGATGTTGTATTGCCCTTCAGGGGCCAAATCATGGGTCGGTTGGTCGGAATTTTTTTTTGTTGTTAATGCTTTTTTTCTCCTTTTTATTCTCCCTCTTTGGGCTTATATTTCTCAGTTTTTAATACTTTACCATTTGTTTACTCTAAATAGCCGACCGTAGATTTCAAGATATTTGGGTCGGTCGCATAGGGCAATACCACATCTTTTTATTTAGGCCTTATTCTCTCATTTTCATTTCTCTCAATTACAATTAAATGCCTTAAACGATCATTTCGAGGATTCATATAATATAATGACAACTCGGACAACATTGATGTCACTTCTTCCATATGACTGTGTTACGTAGAAACGTACTTCATGGAATATCAACCTTCAGAATTAGAGAATGGGTATGGGTACAGTCCATCTGGCACATTGTACGCAGATTTCATGTCATCTCCTATAACTACATAATACATACATATTGACAAACATATACATGCTCAGAATGTGGCTGCCAGGGTATTGTCATGGACATCTAAATTTGAATATAAATTATATCTCCCGTTCTTCAGAAGCTCCACAGGTTGTCTAATCACAAGCGCACACAATTTTAGATTTTTCTGACACGGAAAGTTATAAGTGGATCGCACCATGTTACCCTCAAAATCTAATTATACCCTATACACCTCCAAGTTCTTGTAATCTAAGATCATCACATCAACATCTTCTTTAGATCACAAGAACAAGAGCCGCTTTTGGTGAAAGTGTTTTCTCGGCAGCATTACACTTTATTTGGAACAAAGTACCTTAAGGAGTTGAGAACTACAAAAAACATTTAAGAGTTTCTAATAACAATTGAAAAATTACCCTTTTTTTAGCAATGCTCATCAAGAGGATGTTATGTATTCGGACTCTAAGTGCGCCTCGGAATAGAAGCCCCCCCCCCCCCTCCTCTCTCTCTCTCTCTCTCTCTCTCTCTCTTTATCTATCTCACTTATTTCATTGCTCTCGTTTCTCTTTTTCCCTTCTCTTTAGCTCTCTCCATTGTTCTGTACCTCTCTCTCTCGCTCTCTCTCTCTCTCTCTCTCTCTCCCTTTCTCTATCTTTCTCCCATTGAATTAGCAACTTGTGTTTGCCTTGTTCAAATATGAAAACGAGTCTTTTCAGTACTGATTTTTGTAATTGTGAATAACTTAGTCTACTACCCAATTCATGTATAAATAATAGATTCCACATCGTGCAATAATAAAGGGCAGCCAATGGTTGAGATTATTGAGAGACGCGAATATTTCTAGTCAAATAGATTCTCTGTTGTGGGATTCATGAATAATTGGATAAAATATAAAATTGCATTATACTTATCACAAGCATACCATCAATAATCAATGTCCTCGTTATACTCTGCACTATAAATTATGCTAAAAGCATTCTAGCCTATACTGATGTAGACATTTGAACGTTCACCTCATTGGGACAAATTCATGCATTTGCTCCATCGATTGATATTGACATTCGATTGCTGGATAATAATATGGTCGTACACATCAATTCGTGAAAACATCCATTTCTAGGGCGAATGAGATCAAATGACTTTCTATAAGTGGGGCAAACTTTCGAGAACTGGAGCAAAGTTTGATCGTAACGACAATCAAACTCGAATTATTTTTCAAAACGCCATGCATTACTCTATAGATCTTGTATATTAAATGTTATAAAAGTCTAAAAAGATCGTAGCCATGTTTTTTTTTTTTCTCTCTCTCTCTCTTTATTATTTTTTTTCTTTCTAGTGGAAGAAGTGCAACTTGAAAGGGCCAAAAAATAAATCAAGAAAAACGGTTGAAAGTTTTTGACCGAGATCAACAAGAAAACAAGTATCTGTGTCATAGGTGTGGTATCAAGCTCTTATTTATACTGAAAAATAATACATTCTGACGTGCTATTAAAGAGAGTACGAAATGATTTAGACGAAATATTCATAACTAATTTGGATAATGTGGAATGGCACAAAAATAGATCGCATCTTGGAGAACCCGGGCATCGATCCCGGTACCTCTCGCATGCTAAGCGAGCGCTCTACCATCTGAGCTAGCTCCCCTTCGTCTGCATAAAAAGGGACAACTTTGGTCATATTCATCAGGAAATTAGTTTCTAATAAAATCCATTGATGAGAA